ATTATGAGAATGTTGATTTCTATTATATTTTATTTTATTGTATTTTATTTTCTTGTTTGAATGTATCTATTTTATTTTATTCTACTTTATTTTCTTGCAAAATATTTTAGGTACATTAAAACAACGAAATAAAGTGGATAAATTAAAATAAGAAACGAAGATATACAATAACATAAAATGGATAAATTGAAACAAGTAAATAAAATATATAAATTGAAACAAGAAAATAAAGTGCAATAAAAGAAAATAGAATAGAATAAAATACAACAAGTTAAGCTGAAGTAAAGTACAATAATTCATAAAATGGATTTAAAAATTTACTATTATTACCATTAACACTGACAACTATGTCATAAATGTTGTTTTCGTACATATATAAAAATTTGTCGAGATAAAGCTAGTTGATGGAAGAGGAACGAGATAAAGTTCTCGATTAAATTAGAATCACATTAAACGACAAAGAGACGCGTCCGCTGTCCGCTTCGATAAAATGATTGTAATATAGTATGTTCCCGGCAGTCTGTACCCATATGGAACGTTAATAAATTGACTGCAGATATTTATACATTCATGACACGTGCACAGTTTTAATATAAAAGAAAATCTCCGCGTATTCACATTTCCATCTTATTTCTACCGCGAGGGAAATTTTTCGTTAAAGAAACTCAATTCCTCGGTTGTTCCAATTTTGCAGAACGATTCATTAGCATCTGTACGTTTCCTTAATTCGCAATTCCGCGAAATTACAAATCTACTTTGATAAGCACCGTAAACCCGCGGTTGCCCTAAATCACTCTAATTGCACGGATTATTGATAACAAGCATGTCCGATCTAATCAATACTATTTCCGTGGAGCGTAAATTTATGTCATTCACAAATTAACATTTGCAACTTATCGCATCCATATGCGGGGTAGATAACGAACACATTTGAATCGCATTATCGCCCGTTTTGTTCGAATTTCCTGTTTGCACGGCCGGCGGTATAATCAATTAACGGTGCAGTTTACGGATTCGCAATTAGTTCGGGGACCTCAATTACCCGGCGTATTAAAAATTCCGCGCCCGTGATCGAACCCGGCGCGGATTTTTTAGCACGCGTAATTCTGATACGCATACGGATTACAATAATTAGCATACCGTGTTCGAGCTGTCGAAGGATCCGAGCGTTTCGGAGCAACAAGCGGCCGACTTGTAGGTACATACGTCGTACATAAACGGCTCGATTTCGCATAGTTACACTCGGAATAGAGGAAACCGGATGCGACGAGTCTGCGTCGAATTCCGCGTGTGCATATAGGTCGTATGTAAATGACGTACGTTTGACAGGTCAACGAAGGTATCGATATCGCGTTCCCGTTGGATAGAGCCCGGAATCAATCCTGTCACTTGCACAAAAAACTACGTGATTGTTGCTAAATGTAATTATTCCAAACTCGGTCACAGGCTTCGTCAGATTCGAGAGCACTCGAAGGCAGCGACTTCTGGAATTTATTTTTCGGGAACTGCCGAGAGTTCGGTCGAACAAATGTTATCGTAGCTTAAATGGCACATTTTAAAGAGTGTTGCGTAATTATTTTATTTAAAAATTGTTATCAATTGCCAAGATGTGGTTGATTTTCTGCAGGACCTGTTCTTCTGCTTGAATTGAAGTATATATTTGCTTTCTGTTGTGATTTAATGTTGATCCAAGGAAATGGGAACGTTTATTGAAATGTTTATTATTTGAAGCTGTTTTAAGTGCGATTGGCAAGATTTTGCCGGAATTGTTATCGACCGAATTATTACGATTGTTTCGAGACGCGATCCCCAAAATTGGGATGGACGTAATTAGCGAAATACGAGACAAGTAATTATTACTTCATTTGTTTCATTTTTTTGTAACGAATTTGATGCAATTAATTTTTAAACTTTAATTGCAATTAAATTTGCACGTTGCCTCTCTCTCTCTCTCTCTCTCTCTCTCTCCCTCTCTGTATATGCTTCGATCGAAATACACACTGACAATGTAGAACGGTATTTTTTACTCATCTCGCGGGCAAATTGGCTTCCGTGAATTGTTATGCACAGGGTGTACCGACAAAAACTACTGCCACAACTGTTCCCGAAGCTGTGCGAAAGAAGAATTAGCAATATTTGCACGGTGAAGAATTCGGTTTGATATAGAATTAAATGAAATACAAAATGGCGACAACATTTAGGCAATTGAAAAATGCTACTGTATTATTTTCAGCTCGATAAAATAATTAAAGTCAAAACCGAATGTCTACGTGGTTCTTGCACTTTGTAATTAACGCAGGCGATTTTTATTTTGTATAAAAGTCTAGAACTTGGTAATAACTATTTATATAACTATCATAATACATATATATAATTTTTTTTAAATATGAATTTTATATTCTATAATGTCAGTTTAATACAATAAATTATCATATGAATATAAACATTATAATTAGTAGACTGCGTTCAAGCGAATTAAACATTTTCTAGGTAAAAGAGGAAGTGACATGAAAGTCTTACTTTTTGATCTTGCGTGCTTCAGTGCAATTGAAATAAAACAATACGGTTCTGAATTTGATGATGTTGCATCTATTTTTCGAAACCGATGTGAACAATTTCTTTAATTATTTTACAAGATGATGCCAAACACAAATTCAATGGTACGAGATAATTATAGGAATTTATAAAAAGCCGTCATGATAAATGCCGAATGATTTTCTGAGTTTATCCACGGAAATAAATCTTCGAACACGTTCCGCGGGATCCGATTAGGCGTGTTTGTCTGTCCACCCTGTACGTAGCCAGCGTTCGCAACTAGTTCCATCGAGATATCCATTCCCGTCGCTCACGTCGGGCCGCCAGGAGCTTGAAATTTCACAATTATTCGTCACGGGATCCGCGATTCCACTTATCCGGCGATTTGCCGGCATCTAATCGCGCGTCCAATTTGTACGTGTCGGCGATTTGAATCCATCGAGCTCGCCACGACCGTCCGCAACACGTGTATCCACTGAAACTTCTAACCAGTGCCGAGGAACCCTCGGCTGTCCGTTGTTCACGGAACAAATAAATTCTCGTTTAACTCCTGTTTGCAGAAACTCATCTGAAGAGATTTAAATTCTCGTTAGAGATCCGCGAATTGCCAATTAAACGCTCCGATTTTAAACAATTTCCTCTGTGCTCTATCCATCAGACACGCAGAAACTGTGTCCTCGATAGGTTCGAAAGTTCAGCAACTAATTCTGAAGATTACTTCGAGTAATTCGAAAGTAATTTTAGCTATCGGAACTTTATTGATTTCCTTACGGATTACAAGTGGTCCATCTCCTTGTGGAGAAATAAGAAAATAAAATGGGATAGAATAGAATAGAATAGGATAAAATACAATAAATTAAACTCAAGTAAAATACAATAAATTAAACTCAAGTAAAATACAATAAATTAAACTCAAGTAAAATACAATAAATTAAACTCAAGTAAAATACAATAAATTAAACTCAAATAAAATACAATAAATTAAACTCAAGTAAAATACAATAAATTAAACAACACATTTAGAACTATACTATTGTTAAACTAGTTAAACTTGAGTTGTTTAAAAAATATTATTATTTAAAAATGATTGCAGATTATATCAATTTAACTATTGTTAGGCCGCTAGAACTTGTCAAATAAACGATTAAAATATATTAACGAACAGATTGTGCTTCATAGCTGTTAGAGTCAAATAGAAATACTTGTTCCTAAAATAATTTGAACAACTTGGAGATGACATATAGATGTTGTAAATTTAACCTATTTATTTTTATTATAAATACACGAGATCTGCAGTCCACTAGCGAATTACAATGAAAATACGAAATTGTGCTGTAAACACGCTTTCAGTAGAAAATCCCTGCCACTGATCAGACCGAATGAACACTAAATTAGCGTCATCTATCACCATAAATATAAATTCTATTTCCACTAATAATTTGGTACATGTTCCCGGTGCTTGAGTGTTTTCCGATGCTATTGGTGCAACATCCTCGGCACAATAAACGCATATGGAGCACATATGGCCTGCGAGTGCGACAATAATTCCGGCGATGGTCTCAAGGTAAACCGCCGCGAAGCTTGTGCAATTTTGTACAGTGTGTTGCAACGCGCGGTCGGTACGTTTTATGAACGTGTTCACTTTTCTTAGAAACAATTTTTCGATATTGACTCACTTAACAGATTAATTCACCCTTATTTCACCATTTTCTTCAACGATTAATTTAACATTAATTTCAATCGAGCTATCGCGCGTTGCACTTATTATAATAAACTAATTAACTCTGCGACATATATGCTCAGAGTATTGCAAGCAGTATTCTATGTATATTCCCAGCAGGCTGGCAACGGATATGGGAACCATAACCGGAGGAGACCAAATTAGACTATTACTGGTATAACGTTATTAGGTGATCACACTGTTGGAAGAAATTAGCTGGAATTGAATTTAAGTGCGTATCGATACCGACGGCGTATTTGAAGGCGAACAGGCGAAACCGGCTAATTACCGCACTGCCAACGCATCGATCAATTAATTTACCTTTCGCGAGTTTCGTCTAATTAGACAGCGACTTCCCTGTTTGGACCACCATTCGCAGGTGTTAATTATTGAACGCTAGTTTATATTGTACCAGAAAATCATTGTTCGGATTTCTAAGGAAAATTAATTCTGTTCAATCTCGGATCAACCTAAACACCGAATTTCGATAAATTTATCGAAATTGCAGGCTGTTCGTGGAGATTGATTCGTTAGAATCGAAACTATGTTTCACGCAGCGCTGATTCAAGCGTTTTTTATATCATTTATACGAGGGATGATCATTTTCGTTCAAAATTCTGTATTATGTTACCAATTGTATCGGTCATTTTATCCGCCGTTTTGCGATATTTTGTTTACGACAACATTGATTTTTCAGTTCTGGAAGCTTTTTAATTTTTTGTTTCTCCTCTGTTTTTCTTTTCAGTTCTTCGCGCGCGCCTTAGGTTCGCGGAACGTTTAACTGACGTGACCATAAGCCGTGGGATTATTAACGTGACGGTAATTTATCGATATAACCACTTTGCATCATTTTTCCTAACATTTTCCTCGTCGCCGTGTCATGCAATAACAGAAGCTTTCACGTTTAAAAATATTTGAATGCCGCCTCCTGTCGCTATCATTTCCATCGGAGATCATTATGACGAACAAAAGACCAATGCTTGAATCGATACGCTATGTTTATCCGCGATAAACGTAACCGCGGTGCTCGTCGACGTATTTCCGTTTGTGACTTCGCAAATGTTTGATCGTTACCGTGTGCATATACTTAATGAAAAAGTAGAATCTCCGACGTTTACGCTGACAGTTCATTCGCGTAACTCATTGATCAAAACGATGCAATTATCTCTTGCCATTTGTAATGTCGAACGAAGCGACGGCGGTGAAAACACAGCGGATCGTTCATCATTGTCGACATTTTCATAATTATCTCCTTTTTTCTGTTTCTTATTTGTTTAGACACGATGATACGCAAATCGGGGTGTAACAGAAATATTTTGTTGTCGATGGTGCCGGTGGAAAGTTCGTTCTATTTTATTCCATTTCATAAAATAATGGTCCCGTTTTTTAATTATTGTATCAGATTTATTAATCGGTACAGGTATCGGTACAGGTATAAAATTAACAGATACTTGGTTAAAATATCTATTTATGACTAGATCGCGAATGTTCGTACAAAATGAAAATCTTCCGATGCAACCACATCGAACGGAATTATTTATTATTACAAAAAGAAGATTAAGGATCTCGAAAATAAAGTAACGTTCTCGAACTTTTCTGAAAGCCACGCCTTAATTTTTATATATAAATTGTTGTCATAAATGCAGGAAATCCACAATCTATTTGTCACTCATTGCGAATTTAATTGTTAGACTGCGGATTTTGCGCATTTATGACAGAAATGAATAGGTTCACTGCAAAATTGAGAAGACGTTAGACAAATTTAAGGATATCGTTACATTGTTTTCAACTTATTACGCTTGTTGAAGGAGAAAATATATTGTCATTTAATTTATATTTCTTACAATTACCTTGGATCATTTTTATTTTGCAGAAAGATCCGTTGTCTAGTAATTGTCTAGCCTCTTGCAGCATTTAAATAATTCAACAAAAATAATAAAAATATGATTGAACTTTCTATTGTTCGTCGGTAGAATTGTTTTCAAATCGAACGAGCTTTCCATTCGATAGATTGTCATTCAAGTTCATCGTCAGACATTTTCCATTCTGCAAACAATGCGTTGAAAATTTCGGCAACTCCATCGACAATTTCGTTTCCGCAGATGCCGTCGAATACGTCGGTAGGTAGCCCTCTTTTCGACGAGGACCTTCGTCGAATCCTGCTAGAGAGGGAGCAGGAGTGCCTGGAGTTGATGGAGCAGACGAAGAACTCTACACCTCCGCCAGGTAGGATCTAATAAACTTTCGCGCTAACTTCGAACACAGTAACAATATGGATAAATGCTGCTGTCAGTATCGACGATCGATTCGAAACGATTTCATTCGACAACACGACTTTGTCTCTCTCGAGTGACTGTTCTCAGTGACAATATGGCGATGAACAATGGAAGAATAGCACCGAAGTATCGCTAATTGTTAGAGTGACGCGCAATAATCCGGAAAGATCAATTTTATATTATGTTTATATTACAGTTTACGTTATATGTTATATTAATTTTATAACGATAATTTTATAATCTTTCACACGCCAATTTGTTTAATTCTTTTTATAAGCTAATACTTCGGTTGCTGCTCCGATCGTATATCGCTAACGAAATCGTTCACTGGGTCAAAATGACCCGGTAACCACAGTCCGAGGGTTACTCAATGAAAAAGACAACACAAGAGACAACAATATCGGCGCAGTGCGAAATGATTCCGCAGAAATCGCAATTTCTCCGATTTATAAAATGTTGCATGTCGGTGGAGATGTCTGTAAAATGTCTGAAATTTACGTAAATACTGATTATCGAGAATACAAATTGTTGTCTCGTGACCGGCGAGATTACGGCACAAATCAAACTCTGGAGGGATAAATCACAAGGCAGCGATCGATTGGAGGTGTCACACCCACGCCACGAACGTACAAAATTTATTATATTTATTGAATCGCCGCTACATGCTCCGGTATAAAAAAGAAAGACCTATTTATGCTTATGTACAACTGCATACGAGCATTGAAAATTGGCAGCAGACAGTGCGCTTGCGGATGGTCAGGCCAGCCGTCGGAACTCGTAAATTCTCGTCCTATTGGCTCGCGTTGTCGCCTGTTCAACGTGAACATCGTCGATAGGCGTTGTTTCTATTTCGTCGAACGATTTCGTTCGACTGCGATAGACGCTTCCGGTTGGTCCCCGATCGACCAACAATCGGCACTCCCGCTGCGACATCCTCTCACTTCCGTTTCTTCGACTCGGACGTTTTGCCGCTGCTCGTCTTCGAACACGATTTACAGCCGAACACCAGCCTGGTTATCTTCCGTAGTACGTAAACAACGACGAGGATCACAATCAGAAGGCAAGCCAACAGGAACCCGTAAACGTCCAGGAGTTTTTGTTGCCACCAGGCGAGATGAATGGCTGGCGATCGCAGGATGTTCCCGTGTCTGCCGACGTACTCCACCCAATAAATCGCGGTGTCTATGGCCTTCATCGGACGGTCCTTGAATAGGGTCGAGACTCGCTTCATGTTCGTTCTGGAAGATCGGAGTATTAATCACGGTTTTAGGGCGAGAAATGGTATTAGGCCATCCCCTAAGTAGAACCGCTCCGGGGACGCCGAGTGCCAAAATCAGAGAGCAAACATGATTTAAGAGGACCCAATGCAAATCCGTCTTAATCTATTCGAGCTAGGGGAAACAGAGTTCGATTTGCTTTCGACCGGAGTTTCAAGAGTCGATGATTCCGAGAAGGAGGTCGAAGCGGCCTTGAGTTTTAGAACTGTACGCAGAACCACGGTTTCGTTTGAAAATTCTCGCTTCGCGTTACATCCTTTTTCCGCAACGATGCGACGACCTTTTCAGCGATAATTAAAGGTGTATTATAATGAAATTTATCTTTGTCTCATCTGTTCGGAATCAAGATAATTTCGTATCATGGTTACTTATGCCAATATCAGTCATTTTGGCTCAAAGTGGAAAAGTATTCTATAATCTGTTTGTTAAACACGAAATCGTTTTATTAGAGAGTTTGGTGAATTTATCGATGTCTTTTTACGAAATTCTTTTACGCGGCGCCATAACACGAACATTAACATAGCTGCAATGTAACATAACGTAAGTTATGACATAGTCGTCGGAATAGTACCTAATTCATTTTTCTATAAAAATGATATCGTTACGTAACGATATTTTACAAGCCCAAAAAATGGCGAAACGATTGAAAATCTCTGAATTGTTGGTCCGCCGAGAACGCATGACAGAAAACGTTCACAGTTTTTGGATTTACATACGTACCGATACTCGTCGTCGTTCAAGATTTTATCGAGCGCATAGGAGAGCGTCTCGACGGTGATATTATCCGGCGACGAAAGAGACACTGCCAATTTCTTGGCAGCGACGTTCTTCAGGTTCGTGCTCTGATCACCAAAGATGGGCACGCCAACCAACGGAATCCCAAAGTAGACCGCTTCTTGGAGACCCATAAGACCACCGTGCGTTATGAACGCCTTTATGTTCTTGTGTTCTGGAATTTAAATGTCTGTTTTCTTCCTCCGGTACTAAAAAATTTATGTTTTCCTATGTCCATAAAAGTATTTCCATCTAGACATGTAGATCGATGTTTGAACGTGCTTTAATTTCATTGCCAGAAGAAAATTGATGGCATGTCCCATAATTATGTTAACACTCGGAATGGGGTGATTCCTCAGGTCATTTGAAGTAACTCTTTCCTTGACGAGTATGCAATCCGTGGCTTTGTTTATGAGATATTAACGAAAAACGGTGACCAATGAGAGGCGAGATCGGCTGGCGCGTGGTTACGTCAAGCCAATCGGCGAGACTGGGCTTCGACCGCTTGTTGGCTCGGCCGCCTCGCACCAGTCGAGCTCGCCTCTCATTGGTCACTGCTTTTCGTTAATAACTCGTAAACTTGATATGTTTGTTAGAGCAATATGAAGAATATTATCAATAACCTTGACATAACCTTGACATATCAAGGTTTTGTCAAGGTTATGTCAAGGTTATTGATCATATTCTTCATATTTCTCTAACAAACATATCCCTTACGTCCTTTAACACGATTATTATTAATTAAATTAGCTATGCGAATCATTTCATATGTTGACCTTGACATAACCTTGACATAACCTTGACATATCAAGGTTTTGTCAAGGTTATGTCAAGGTTATTGATAATATTCTTCATATTTCTTTAACAAACATATCCCTTACGTCCTTTAACGCGATTAATATTTATTAAATTAGCTTTGCGAATCATTCGTTGAACTGAGTTCGGAAAAAAAATTTCATATGTTGACCTTGGCATAACCTTGACATAACCTTGACAAGGTTATGTCAAGGTCACTGTACACCTTCACTGTACACCTTGCTTAAAAATGTCATATGTTACACACAAGGTGTCATGAACGCTAGAAAATTAAAACGGCCGTCACGGTTAAATTACTTACTATTTCGGGTCCGAAAAATTAGTAAATATTCTTCAGACGTTCTAAAATAAAGGTGAACAGCGTTTTTCTTAAAAATATCACTGTTACGTAGTAAAAAAAAATCCGGAAAGTTCTCGCTTCGTGATTTGTTCAATACTTCGAACGCGGCTCGAGTCTCTCCCGACTATCTGCCAAAGCCTCGTGCTGCGGTCTCTCGAACTTCGCGCCGTTACCTCTCATTGGTCAGTGTTTTCCGTTAATAACTCGTAAACAAAGCCGTTGATTGCATTTTCGCAAAGGAAAAAGTTACTTCAAATGACCTCAGCTACCCCTCATTTTCGGCTGTTAAAATAATTGTGGAACACCCTGTATATTATAAATATATCAATGCATAATATAAATATATCAATACACAATATATGTATTACAAATGTATTAAATATTTCAACGCAAACCCCACGCTTACTAATAACGTTTATACGATTTAAAGCTATTCTTTGTTGCTTTCAATATTCCCTAAGGGATTAATCGAAGAGATATACGAATTAAGGAAACCTGTTCGTCTACGTACTGAAGACGGTCACTTGCGGGAACCAAGGTTGCACCATCACGTTCTTCGGCAGCCCCGGTAGCAGGTCCTCCTTCTTCGCGACCTTCATCAACACTCTTATTGGCGCGATGTTTTCGAAAACAGTGTAGATCGCTCTGAGGGTAGGCTCCGGGAACGTCTCTATCCTGATCATCGAACCGAACGTGAAGTATATGCAACCGTGCGTGCTTTCGTCCAGCCACTTCTCCACCTCCTGGGAAATTATCGCGCGCAAGAAAATTACTTCGAGTGTACATTTATCATCGGGGACGCCGGGAAAGTTTCTCCTTTCCGAAACGAATTTCATTTTCGCAAAGGCTGTTTGAGAAACGACGTATTACCGGGGAGAGCGGGTTGCCATTTTCCGTGACGTGCAGACCACCGACTTCGACGACCCCGTTGCTGTTCGGTCTGATGCCGTTCAAGCTGTGATGCGAGTTGACCAGGTAGAGGCCTATGTCCTTGTGAAGATCGCGGGCGCCTACATCGATGCCGAAGTGATCCTTCACGTGTTTCGACATCCAGTCCATGCGGGAGTTCAGCTCGTACGCCACGTAGTTCGACAAAACGGTATTCAACAGCCTGTCCCAGAAACCCATGCGCTGGCCGAAACTGCTGAATATGCTCGGGACGAAGGCGGGATTATGCGGATTTCCTGTGACGTCTTCGAGCCAGTCGCTGAAAGCAGAGGTCGTGATGCTGACGATGGGAACGTTCAGATGACGGCCGAACGCGAGGTAGCACGGGGCCATGAACACCTGGAACAGTCATGAAAATGTCATTCGATTTTCAATAGTTTTCTCTTATTTAATTTATGCGAATATCCTGACTCTATTACATTCTTTTAGAGAATTATCGCAGCGAGTTTTCGCTGATCGCTCAGCAAATGGCGAAACGCATTTTATACGCGAGACAGCAAGCGGAAAGAATATTCTAAAGAAAATGTGTAATTATAGATGTGATCGATGATAGTTAGAGTGTTTGAATAAGATTTTCCAGAAGCGTGCATCCACGCAGATTTTATGAAGCAATTTTATCAGTTGTTGATCTTGAAGGTATAATTAGTTTCTGACACACAACGTTTCTAAAATTGAACCAAACGATTTTGAGCTCGTTTATATGTTAAAGAAATTGTTGGAATTTTTTAATTAACATTTACTTTAATTATTATGGATTAACGTATTCGTGTTAACTGTTCTGAACTTACGTATTTACGTTAATTAACGTAATTAGCGATTACGTTTAATTGTCGATTCTGATACGAGACAATTAATAATAATTATATATTTAATTAATAATTATTTAATTATAATATATATAATAACATATGTTAGTTAACATGAATACGAATAATTAACGTAAATGTGAATAAGAAAATACCAACAATTCCAACAGTTTCGAAGATATTTCAAACGAAAGAATTTCACTCTTTCCTTCCCTGTCGCTGAGACACCCTGTATACCCCTGCAGCGTAATAAGAAGAGAAAAAAGGTCAATCTCTCCCACGGGGATTCGGACCTTGTCTGAAGTTAATGCGACAGCTGAAAACTTTCTTTCCACTATCGAAATAGAGTAAACGCAATAAGGAAAGTTTATCCTGTTCGATGAATGATAAATTCGACACGCGAAAATGCAATACGATCTTTTTTCGTGCCTGCGTTATCGAAGTTCATAATTTAAGTTGATAAACGGTAATTCGAGCCTAAGATAACACGGACGAGTTACAGACCGCAGATTTTGCAGATTTGCGACAAAAATCCAGACAGATAAGAAGAACATAAGCACGGCGATACGTCAAAATTATCGGGTTTTTGCAAGAACATTTGTATTATTATCGCAATTTCATCATTGACTTGTGGATCCTTATGCAAAATAACCGTTGTCGGAGTTAATTGCAAGTAACATAAGCCTGACGAAAACATTTTTTCTATTTTAATCGTTTGAATAAATTGTACATGATATACGAAAATATTCTCAAATCCTTCTCGCGTCTTTAGAATTTCGATTTTAACCCTAGTAATTTTTCCCAAAAATGCATAAAATTCGTAATCCGTTTGCCAGCTATATTCGATAAAGAAAGCATGGTTTGAAACGAGGCGAACGATTGTCTTTTTAAACTGCTCGATTGTTCGATTTTCGTGTGGCATAATTGACTTCCAATTTACATCGTTATGTCACTTTAGGACCGCTTCGTCATGGGCATGTGATAACGCCGCAACAGGAAGATCTAAAATTCACGAAGATAAATATTCATGCGGTGTCACGTTGCTGATAATGTATTGTGCGTTTGGATTCGTCGAATCAGTCCTTGTCACTCCGATGCTGTGCGAAGTGAAGCAGATCATGCATAAACATAGACGGAATAACAAATATTTCGCCGTGACGGAAATATCTATTGCGGCGCGATGCGAGAGTGTGTTACATCGAGTAACGCTAATTTTTAATTGCGACGTTATTTAATATACGTTGTCGATAAATCATTTATGACCAATATCGCGGATCTTTATGCAAAATAAAAATTATTTTCATCGATTGGAAAGGGCAGGTGCCAAACAGAAATTTCGTTCCCTTTTTTGACAACTTTGGTAAGCTTTAACTAAATTATTGATAAATTCTTAAATTCATTTAATCTGTCTACTGCTTCGCGAATCACATCCACGTATTTTTCTCGTAAATGCATAAAATCCGCGGTCTAGTAACGACAAATGGCGATAGATATTTGAACGAATTCAACGAAAATAAAAATGTATGTACTTCGAAACTGGTCATGAAATGAAATAGTTTTTAAATAATTTTTGTCGGAAGAAATTAGCGCAGTAGAGACTTCATTATTCGAATACAAACACGAAGACTTCCTTATTCGTGAATACATGCATTCATGAATACACACAATTTTTCGATAAGAAAATGTTTTGGTATCAGGACATTATAAAAATAATAGTACCGATAAGGGAGGCTCTATTACAGTAGAACTATCTTCTTGACAGTTGTTGACATCGTTCTTATGCCATAGTTACATAAAGATGATTCACTTATACCAGTGAAGATTGACGAGTTATTTTCCACCGTTTGTTTTATTGCTCTTGTTGTGTGCCATTATGCAACCAATTACACGTTCAACCTACGGTTTTCTCGTGCAAAGTTCTTGAAACCATAACCGAACTGCTCCAGATACTACGGGATATGTAGCTTCAGAGCACTCGGAATTTAATTAGCATCGTTGTGCTTAGTATCGTAAGAATGAACTCGTTTCAGACTTATTTGCTTCTGGTTAACAGTAAAAATTAGGAATTTCGATCGTAATGGTAGATAATCGTTCTGCAGGAGCCACAGAAATATAAGAGAATGTAATTTTGTAAATTATTTCTGTCAAATGTATTCTTTTGAATTATATCTATTGAATGTAATTCTTTGAATTATTTCTATTGGATGTAATTTTTTAAATTATGTCTATCGAATGTAATTCTTTAAATATATAATCAAGGAGAATCAAGAAGTTGACTTCGATAAAGGCTGATCGTGTTGACAAAGTAATTTAATCTTATTTGTATTCGTCTATCACCGTTTGCTAAAAGATTGTACAGTTCGCTGTACACATATCCATATTCAAACATTAGTTCTCTAATGATACCGTTATCGAAGTAAAAGGCTTGCTAACACATCGATGAATTAAGATTAGATAAACTGATATTACAAGTGCGCTCAGGTATTTGTCCGATCATTAATTTCAACACTTCTCGCGAACCCTAAACGACACAAGTAATTCATAATTAAACCATAGTTCGCAAGAATTGAACTCTCATTGTCAGTGAAAATGGCTCGAAGTCAAAGAACCCGCGCCGGTAATTAATTCAGCATTGTACACGTGGGATAACTTGGAAATCCCTGTAGACTTATTACGTCAAATTACTCATAAACTGCACATATTACGCGTAATATTAGATTATCATGTTGCGTTATATTACAATGTCATGAATTAAAGAGTACTGCCGCAACTCTGATAAATTACCGACGCACCGTACATATTACATTCTATAATATTAGGCTATCTTTTTGCACGATGTTACCGTGTACTATAAATGTTAAAAAGCAGCGGACAGTTTAAAAAAGTCTGGCTTTTGTCGTTTCGTCGGATGGCGAAGCTTTTAAATGTTTTAAAAGGGGAGTTTTGCTGCTACCGCGTGCAGATAATAACTAGTGAGCGGATTTTTTTAGCATTTATGGCTTACGAGAAGGAACCTTCTTCTACAGAAAGCAACTTCGAAAAGCTTCGCCTCTTTTTCATTTTGCTTTTAACATGTGGAAAACGCCGACGCCGAAAGTAAAATTTCGTTGCAGCTCTCATGTTCCTGTTCTGTCTCGAATATCGCATAAAATCCCCGGTCTCTGAATTACGGAGACACTTGTACTCTATGAGTGCGAGTTATTGTCTTGTGAAGTATTATGGCTGTACAGTATTTTTTCGGAGTAAAATAGAATATGTATAGAACAGATTGTATCCTAAAAATGTGACATCTTTTTAAATGAAAATCAAGTTTCGCAGAAACCCTGAATTCTCCATCGACCAAGCGAACGATTTTAAAGCATAAAATACGATACTACCGCTCCAAAAAAAACAAAAAAAAAACAGCAATAAATTGTAAAATGAAATATAGAATACTCTACCGTAAAAATGCGGCCTGTTTTTAGAGATTTTTCTACCAGGAGGAGCGAAAATTACGCGAAACCCGCGGCCTATCGACGAAGTAAACATTTCCGAAATATAAAAAACGACGTCGCTTCAAGAAAGACCAACAATGCGGTATCGTAGCTACGACAAATTTGCCCGTTAAACAAAATAAAATATAGAATACCGTTAAAATATAAAATTTCACAGGAAACCCGCGCAAAACTGTAATATCAGCAAACCGATGCGATATATCTACGGAAAAATCTGCCGATAAAACGATCAAACTCTGCACGCCCAGCACAGTGCTAACACAAATGTTGTCACGTTACCTCGATAACGACGAGATCGTACGGCGGGTCATTAGGCGGATTCTTGATAAACCGCTGGATATTCTCGTGAGAGAGTAGGTCGCAAATGTCCACGCCAGCCATCGAGACCAGCTTGTCGAAGTTCAATTTGCCGAACTCGGCGGCGGTTTTCGCATCTATATTATTTTTCACCGCTTTCAAGGACCCGTCCAACGAGAATTGCGTGTAATTCGGCGGTGTTTTCTTCATGGGGAAGTGCGTGACCACGTCGACCTGGTGCCCGCGTTCCGCCAACGCCAGCATAAGACGCTCCGCCATCACCCAATGACTGTGCCCATTCAGCGGGAACATGCCAAGTATTCGGAGACCGCTGCCAAGATGACAGCAGGTCAGCGCGACCAGCAGAACCGACAGACAGTGTTTCATGTTGAACGCGCGGAACTCGAGAACATGCAGGATTTAGCGCTGGCGAAACGCCGTTGATCCCTCGAAAGCTCGATCGACGGTCGAACTTCGGCAATGATGCGTTTCTTGTCGAAATTGTCCAGATTTGTGGTCCCGAAGGCTCTTTGGACAGATGATGATCGTTCGTACTGCCGGCACAGACTATGACTCCGGCACACGATTTACACGCAGCCGAACGCAACTGCCGACTGACAAGAAGATGTCACTGCTGGCTTCGGCAACGGTCGGCTGTGGATCAGAAAAGATACGTCGTGAGATATTACGGTTCTCGTTCGGTCACGCGGGGCTTACTAACACAGAGAATTCAGAATTTGTCGAGTTGTTTCGGATATCTATCTAAAATAATTGTTTCGAATGAATATGTATCCAAATGATTATTTCGAATGAATATGTATCGAAATGATTATTTCGAATGAATGTCTATCTGAAATAATTATCTCGAATAAATGTGTATCTGAAATAATTATTTCGAATAAATATCTATTTAAAATAATTATTTCGAATAAATATCTATCTAATATAATTATCTCGAATAAATGTCTATCTAAAATAATTATTTCGGATGAATATCTATTCAAAATAATTATTTCGAATAAATATCTATCTAAAATGATTATCTCGAATAAATGTCTATCTAAAATAATTATTTCGAATGAATATCTATTCAAAATAATTATTTCGAATAAATATCTATCTAATATAATTATTTCGAATAAATGTCTATCTGAAATAATTATTTCGAATAAATATCTATCTAATATAATTATCTCGAATAAATGTCTATCTAAAATAATTATTTCGAATGAATATCTATTCAAAATAATTATTTCGAATAAATATCTATCTAATATAATTATCTCGAATAAATGTCTATCTAAAATAATTATTTCGAATGAATATCTATTCAAAATAATTATTTCGAATAAATATCTATCTAATATAATTATCTCGAATAAATGTCTATCTAAAATAATTATTTCGAATGAATATCTATTCAAAATAATTATTTCGAATAAATATCTATCTAATATAATTATCTCGAATAAATGTCTATCTAAAATAATTATTTCGAATGAATATCTATTCAAAATAATTATTTCGAATAAATATCTATCTAATATAATTATCTCGAATAAATGTCTATCTAAAATAATTATTTCGAATGAATATCTATTCAAAATAATTATTTCGAATAAATATCTATCTAATATAATTATCTCGAATAAATGTCTATCTAAAATAATTATTTCGAATGAATATCTATTCAAAATAATTATTTCGAATAAATATCTATCTAAAATAATTATTTCGAATAAATGTCTATCTGAAATAATTATTTCGAATAAATATCTATCTAATATAATTATCTCGAATAAATGTCTATCTAAAATAATTATTTCGAATGAATATCTATTCAAAATAATTATTTCGAATAAATATCTATCTAATATAATTATCTCGAATAAATGTCTATCTAAAATAATTATTTCGAATGAGTCCCTTTCAGTCGAATATTCTACTCGAATAGCAATTATTCGTGACAAATTGTTCTATCTTGTTTATTCGAATAATTCCTTATTCTTCATTCGAATAGTAATGCCAATAATTGTCGACCGATTTTTTTACGTAATTTAAAAAATAACAAATAACTTCTTATTCGGATAAATCGTCACTCGTTATCGTACAATAATCATTTGAGTAAACGTATATAGTCATGCTTCAACGATAGATTGAAGACGAACATTTTTCGCGTGTCTGTTGTAAAAGTGCAGACTTTTCGTCCTCCAGATGTAGTCCGTGGCAGTGCCAACATCTGCTGCACAATTCGATACGGTTTTAGTATATCGCGTAAGCTAATGTTTGCCGGCGAGCCTTACGATGTGACTGCTCGCAAATATTTAGAAAGATTTTCTTTGCTGTATCTGTCGGATCAGTCGGGACGTCTTCGAGGCTAATATTAAAGCAGCGTAACCGATTAGGCAACAGTAGTCCCGTTGTAAATATGAATAGCAAATGCCTTGTAAAATATAATAAAATTCGCAGTCAAAATAAATAATATCGCCGTTCTATCTTCCAACGAAAAAAATTAGAATTTATCTAGAGATCAGCAAATTGATAACACCGTGATAAGCAGAAAACGCGTATCTCCGTGCATTCATTTGTAAGTGGTAATTTAAACAATAATTGTTTACCTCGACTGAAATATTCCTTGCCGATAAGTTGGAGTATTTATTTTCACGTTTCGTAGCTATATCAAAGCGTTAACGATAAAATATTTAAAAATGCTGATTATGAGCTATTTCCATTGTAAATTTTAATATTCTTGTGCAATACAATTGAACTTCGACTCGACGGCAATTTGTGCGTGTCCGACGACTAATTACCGTTCTCGATAACAAATCGATTACCTGAAGCGTGTAATCGATGATCACGAGTTTTCTGCGGAATGGCGTGTTTCGTCAATGCGGAATCTGAAGAAGGCAGAAGACGACTAATCCTTCGATTCCGTTGACCGTCCGAATCAGACTGCAAAGCCTAGAGCTGCCAGACAGTACAAGTAAGAGCCGGGAGCGGCCAAACAAAACGATCGCGAATTTCGGTTTCTAAACGTTCGCGCTCGCTCGGGTCATCAATAAAATTGCACGCCGAATCTTACCAATCACGCAATATTTCAAGATTTCAAGATTTCTCTTTTGTAAGAGAATTGTCGTCTTTATCGACTCATTCAATTTCTTATTCTTCGATAACACGATAAATCTTCGTTCCTTTGCCGGAGATAAAGAAACATTATCGTGAGTCGAAACTGTTTATCATGGCAACGAGATCAAATTTGTCTGCAGCGTGAAAAAAAGACTGGTAGCCTATCTTTGTCTTGTACACTTTCTTAATTTCTGGCGAATGGACTGGGCACAACGAAAACAGAGACACCTTCTAATACCGTAGAATTATTTTGAAGCAATTATTTATAACGCAATTTTATTTATAAAGCAGTTATTTATGAAGCAGTTATTTATGAAGCAATTATTTATGAAGCAATTATTTATGAAGCTATTATTTGTAAAGCAATTATTTGTAAAGCGATGTTCGCATATTTATAAAGCGATGTTCGCATATTTATAAAGCAATATTTGCACATTTATTAAGCAATAGTTGCACATTTACAAAACGATAGCGATTTATGCTTAATCTAATAGAATTTCGAAGAATTCTTAAAAATTGTTTCTTTAATATATATATAATATAATAAAATTAAGAAAACGCGTTGCTCAAAATATTCGCTCATAACCTCGAGGTATCTAAATAAAAGAATCAATTGGTATAGTTTAGCTGAACACCATTAGACGATTTAACGAACATTAAATGACTTCTTTATAGTGTAGATGAAAGAAGAAAGCTTAGATCGGATACACGTGAATCATAGCAAGCATTGATGGCGAAGCACGTCTTCTAGACCGAGGTTCAGACACCAAAAAAATGGGATGTTATATCATTAGAAGTGGTGTTCCCCGGCGACTACATAAAACCGGTTTCCCTCTTCTACGAAGATCGAAAAGTTCCATCAAAAGGTTTCCGAAACATTCCGCCACGTTTTATTATCGGATTGACACCTTGATTGATATTACGATCTCATACTTTGCGTGACCGAAAAAGATTAATCCCATAGTAAAAAATTTATATACTTAGTTGCTATAATAATTATATTAAAATAATTATATAAAATATAAATTATATAATTATATAAATATAACGCAATTATAAATAATTGCGTTATAACCAATTGCAAAAAAGAAAGGTAAAATAGCAGAAACCATATTAAAAAAAATGTGCAAAGAATAAGATAAAACAGTAGAAACCATATTAAAAAATATCTGCATCAATTGCAAAAAAATAAGGAAAGACAGTAAGAAGATCATACATTGTCAATATTTCGAAATATTGTACTCATTTCGTTATAAATGCTGAAACGTGTACTCTGATTTACCCAGAAAACTTGTTATTTTTCTCTACCAATTTTTTGTTCACGTTAATTACGAGAGTCGCGTCGCGCTCAATAAAATACAGCACCCACGTGGACTACCTCTATCCGGAGTATACTTCAGTCAGTAAAATTCTACGATGAAAGAACATTTTCTCGTTCGAGCAGCAGCTATTACACGCCGATTATAAAACGCTGATAACAGATGTGCGAGTAACGTCATCACTTTTGCTTGATACTTGATCGGTACATGCTCAATGGCTGCTTCGAAATTAGTACTTACGACACACTCCCCTCTGCCGCTTGACTTAATCAGATTCCGGGGACTTCAACTTAAACAATGATTAATTAACTACACATGTTATACCTGTGATATCGAATAAGGAGTATAGTGTGTTCTATTATACGTCGTCCTATCGTTTAAAACTCACCGTGTTGCTTTGTGTTTTCATACTTAATGAAGGAATTTAAACAGCTATATATATATATGGTACTATCTTATTTTTAGTATATTTTTTTGGCGAGGAGGGGAAATGCTTTATGCACATCCCGGGGATAATGAGGGATTCCATATATGGTTACCCTCTAAAACCCCTCCTATATGCCAACCCTCGTGCCACAGCCCGTAAGAGCTCAATTTAGAACAGAACTTTAGGATATATTTAGTAGATTATTTACTATCTTATTTATGATATTATTTACTATCTTGTTTACTATTTTATTTATTCTTATTTTTTCTTATGTTTCAAACGAAAGATAAAGTGAGAACCACGTATGACATAACCACAATCCGGTTGACATAATCGATTCAAATCGCGTGGAACGTCGGAGTCATTGGCAAACGACATATTTCTCGGCGTTACATTTGTTTAGTATCTTTTTAGAATGCGAGAAGGTTTACTCGCGTATCGGTGATGTTGACAGTGCCATTCAAATTTCTCGCTAAAAGCATGCAAAACGCACATCAGGTGTGAAATACGCGTATAACTTGCGATGAACTGATGAAATTGAATGACTCCGCGTGTTTCACTCGCTGACATCATGTCTCCCACCGAACATATGCTTGGATGCGTTGCGTTTCTTGAAGAAAAACTGACCTTCGTGATCGGTATCGAGTACGCGCTACAAAAATGATTCATAGGACTCTAGGTCGTGCGTCAATAATTAGCGCCGTTCAATGAGACATTTTTTACTGTCGGACGCTAGTTCATTGATCTCTTTTCCTTTTCACTGACATTTTGACTGCCGCGCCGACAAGATTATACACCGACAAGATTATACAGAATCGCAGTGTTTCATTTAAACGAATTAAAATTGGAAAGTGAAGCTGTACGATAGCAATTATTATTGTTAACATTTTTACGTTGCGTGCGTCCTAATCGAATTAGAGGAATTAGTTGAACATGGGTGATGCGGCAGTTAAAGTGTTAATGAGAGAATTTGAATCTCGCGCCTCGACTGTAATAAATTGAATAACATTTGCAAGACCAGTCCTTATGCATATACAGCAGGTCTGGTGATAATTAGTGTTCCTTTGTAATGAAACCAGTGTGCAAATGAAAGTGATTCGAGACAGACGGCACTGATAAAACATGATTTATTTATTCGCAAAAGGTAACAGTACCGTTTCCTACGTAAAAGCTTGTGCAGTCTGACAACAGGCATTTGACTGATTTCGCTGCACCAACGCAATTTAATTGTGTCCCCGTGTTCAGCAATTGTTTGTTTCTCTTGTAATCGCTCGGGGGCCATTCTACTCGACGGGGGTGCCATTTTATACGCAGCACGCGTGTCCGGCTAATCAAGAGCAAATCCAAATGGCTGCATCCCCACTGCATTTTTGCAATTGAAATCAGCTCCTGTGTGTCCATTGACATTTATTTCTCTTTGGACCTTTTCATTGATTATATCACGTCGGTGCCATTTCAAATGCAGCCCACGTGCCCTGTCTATCGCGTGCCGATCCAAATGACTCGCCTTTCTGTACTTTTCACAATTCAAATTGTTCTTGGCATCGATTAACATTCTTTTCAAATCACTCAGGAACATTTCAATCTTCGTCGGTGCCATTTTAAGCAGTGCTGCGTTACCGATTGATTCAGAACAAATCCGAACAGTCTGGTTTACTGTACCTTTTGCGATTCGATTGGATTTGTATTTCGTTCATACGCATTCGGGACCATTTTATTTCCCATTAGTGCCATTTTGGACAGAGTTTCGGGACCGACTAATTAAGAACAACATCGAATAGCTTGATTTATCGTATCACTTGTGATTCAATCGGATTTGAATTTCGTTCGTACACATTCGGGACCATTTTATTCGTCATTAGTGCCACTTTGAGCAAAGTTTCGGGACCGGTTGCAGTTCTATGTAATTTTAAATCTCATTTAAAACGTATTCATGCCGTTGAGTAATGTAATAAATATTAGTATCACATTCGCTACGATTTCTTCTGTAATTATTCAATGGTTTCTTCCGAACGTTATTAATCCAGAAATAAACGTTATTTCCTGAAATAATCAGTATCTCAATCGACTATTAATTGACCAAATGAAGAACATAGGGTTAATTCAAATACGCTATTTATGAAGTATCAATCGACGTTATTTGAAACGATTATTTTTGAATTACTATTTGAAAGAAATTTCGCTCTGGTTTGCTATTTACTTTCGCAATTCAATTGCATTCTTACATTTAACTGCATAATTGCATTCTCGCATCTGCCGTCATGTGTCTCTCTTAAACTCGTTCGGGGACCATTTTGCTTCCCATCGGTGCTATTCCGACCGGAGCTTCGCGGCCAGCTAATGAGAAACAGACCCAAACGACCCATTTCGTTGCTCTTCGGCGGTTTAATCGGATCTTCGTTTCTTTTGACGTTCGCATCTGTTGGAATCGTCGGGGACCATTTCGCTCGGTTTTCGGCCCGTTTCACGGTTCTCCGGCGACCACCCAATCAAACTCGGAACCAAATGGCTCGTTTTACAAACGAAGGGGATGCAACGAACCGACGGTGTCTGCGTTTCCATTTTTTTTTCACCCGCTCCCTCGCAATCCCGCAGTTGCCAGCTGAGAAATGGCGCCGCTCCATTCGCCGGCGTCTCGTAAATCGCCCCGGAGACGGCACCAAACCGTGAAATTCGTGTGTTGCCGCGGTTTTTCGGTGGAAATGAATTTTTCCGAAGTCGTCCGTCGACGTTGATATTCCTGCGAAAAACATGGCGACCAGCGGTTATCTTTCTCAACGCGACACGTGTCATGCGTCATGTGTCACGGCCGAGGGTCGAGAGCGATCCACTAATCTGTCCGATCCAGAGAACATGTAATTTCAAATGGACCAAAAATGTATGCTGCCGCGAATTAATTAACGTGAATTAAGCGTCGGACCGCGCAGATCTCTGCGCGCGTTTTTCGAGCTTTTCGGGCAGAAGTTGCCGGCAAAACGATAGCCGAACTCTCTTTCGCTCTGTGGTTTCCGAATAATACGCGCATTTTCAACGTTTGCTTGTTTAACGCAGAACCTGCAGAGCCCTGAAAGTAATTAACGTGTACTTATTTAAACAATTTGCTATTTTTACCGAAATGCCTACGTCCATCAAGAAATTTCTTCGATCGTTCTCCTCTATGAGAGCGTCATCATAATTTCAGCAACTTGAAAACCAAATATATGAAACGGGTCATTTTCCGTAGATTTAGCGTTTAATTTCTCTAATTTTAACACTAACGGACAAATGACCGGTCTTACATATTTTATTTTCGAATTGTTGACATTAGGAAGATTCTATCTTAAGAAACTATTATAATAAAAATGTAATAAAAATGGCGGCAAATGGATAAATTTAGACGAATACAGTCTTCTTTAATCAGCAGTTTTCGAAATTATTCGGAAAATTCACATATTATTGTATTGTCCAATCGAGTTCGTTGATAGAAAATAAAATAAAATAAAAAGTTCGACAGAATTCTAAAGATACTACTGAGTAACATAGAGACTGACTTGGGTAATAACATTTTTACTTTACATTGTTTTATATGCAATATATGTGTCTTATGTGTCATTGTCTTATTCAATTATAATGCATTGTCTATAATATTTTCACAGTGTTCATCTCACTATTTTTTACAAGAGTAGATAAAGAACAACGATGCACCTTCGCCTCTGGGAAAATGTTACCTGCCCACACGGTTTTAATTTTGCGAAGTTGTTCGCCCGAGGTATATTACATTTCATAAAGGAACTTCTTAAGTCATTCGCTTTTTCGTCGGAAGAAAAAAACGATTACGTTGATCGTGTAACAGATAGGACGTAGGACATAATTTTGTGATCAAGATAGCGAAAACTCTTGTCGCTATCACGACTAGGCTGCGGATTTTATGCGTTTACGACGAAAACGAATTAGTCGAATACAAAATTAAAAAGAACGTTGAAAGAATTTGGAGGTATCGTTACATTATTTTCAACTTATTGCTAAAACTAAATCAATCCGAAATAGCTTACGAGAATTTCGCGACAGCGTTACGAAGTCCAAACAGCTTCGGATTCGCGAACGTTCCGATAAAAATGCCTAAATGCGATCACGTGTATCGATTCTCTTAAATTCGTACGTGAACTTCCGGAACAAAAGTTCACGACACTCCAGTAAAAAGTGACAATTATTGATGGCAATTAGACTGCGGATCTTCGCGCAAAAAAATACTTTCTGCACTGATTGCAGAAAACAGGGAATGCATGGTTGTCTATTTCTGATTTGAATAATTTTAATGAGTCATAAAATATGCAATCTAATTATTAAATTCGTCGGTGTCACTGTTTCTTATTTCATCTCCTCATTGTTGTCATAAATGCCTAAGGATCCGCAGTCTAACGATAACATACGTGAACGTCTGTACGTATTTCATGTCTTTTCATTAAAATTAATGTAGTATAGTCTAATACAATTAATATGATATAAATAGGAGAAGGGGAGATAACGAAAACAGATCAGATTACGACAATTTCTTCTTGCCGGACGGTGTTTGTTCCACGTTTATCAAGCCGAACGCGAATCGCACGGCGCATACTACGATGTAGATCGCGAGGAACGCCACACCCAATAGGAACAAGTAAACGTCCAGAAGCTGTTGTTGCCACCACGTCAGGTTCATCGCGGGTGACTTAAGCGCGTTCGCGCCGTGCCTGATGATGTACTCGGTCCAGAAGACGGCGGTGTCCGCTGAGCTTAGGGGACGGTCCAGGAATTTTGCAGACACCTTCTTCGCGGTTTCACTGAAAGACAGAGGTCTCACTCGTTCACGTCGTCCAGAATTCTCTGAATTATTGCACAATGTTGATCGAACGTCACAGAATAATAATTACGAGCGGAATAATTTTTTCAAGATTCGTCATTCATCAACTTCACTTATTGCAGCTTAGAAAAGCAAGAATAAGATATAAATGCTTTTAGATGATTTTAGGTAGTAAGAGGGAGTCTATCGTTCCAGCTCCGCCATGTTGGAAATGGAGTACTAACAGAGTTTCGATTGTTACAGCGAAGAGACGTCGCTTCCGCTATTTTAACCCTTTGCACTCGAAGCTATTTTAGCTTCAAAACTATTCTATTCCTTCAAAATTAAAGTATTATAATTGTGAATTATAATTGTGATTTGAACTGTTCATTATAAACCAATTTAATGATACAGAAATTACGTTTAAAAAGTGATGTAGCAATTTTGAACGGTGCCTTAGAAACGTCACTCAGGTGCAAAGGGTTAAGCAATAAATGACAGAAACGTTTGTCTATCGTTTCAATAGAAGATATCTTGGGATTAATTATGCCTTGGTAAATTGAGATTAGGGAGAGAATAGGAAATCGCTAATTACCGATACTGCGGGTCGTGTAAAACAGCATTCAAAGCTTTGTCCAGTTTCTCCTCCGTGAGGGTGTCAAGGTCTAATCCAATTGCAACGTTGGCCCGGACGTAGGTGTTGATATTGATAAATTGATCGGCAAACAAAGGTATACCGATCAGAGGGACACCATAATGAATCGCCTCCTGGGTTCCCATGAGTCCTCCGTGAGTGATGAACGCCTTCACGTTCGGGTGCTCTGTGTGACAATTGATTTCACGTTATTTAATTTCGTACGTTAGCCATTTATCTTCGAATTTAAACGAACTATATTTGTTTTCTCCGGATTCATAAATTCGTACTTGAGTGGGGTGACATATTTTCAGATTCTTTCGCAACAATTTAGTAACTTTCTATTCGATATTCACGACAATGATTCCTGCTCAATAATTAACACGATAATTTCTACTCGATATTTAATACGACATTTCGTACTTAACGTTTAACACGATAATTTCTACTCAATATTCAACTCAATAATTTCTGTTCAATATTAATCTCAATCTATTCGATATTAAATACAATAATATCTAATCTAATTAATATTTACTAAATAATTTCTGTTCAATATAACTGAATAATTTTTGTTCAATATTGATGTCGATCTATTCAATATTAAACACAATAACATCTAGTAAATATCTACTCAATAATTTCCGTTCAATATTAATGTTAATCTATTCAATATTGAACACAATAATATCTAATAAATATCTATTCAATAAGTTCTATTCAATATTAATGCCAATATAATTTCTAATCACAATATTAAACTCAATAATTATATTGAATCATATTAATATAACTCAATAATTATATTGAATCATATTAATATAACTCAATAATTATATTGAATCATATTAATATAACTCAATAATTATATTGAATCATATTAATATAACTCAATAATTATATTGAATCATATTAATATAACTCAATAATTATATTGAATCATATTAATATAACTCAATAATTATATTGAATCATATTAATATAACTCAATAATTATATTGAATCATATTAATATAACTCAATAATTATATTGAATCATATTAATATAACTCAATAATTATATTGAATCATATTAATATAACTCAATAATTATATTGAATCATATTAATATAACTCAATAATTATATTGAATCATATTAATATAACTCAATAATTATATTGAATCATATTAATATAACTCAATAATTATATTGAATCATATTAATATAACTCAATAATTATATTGAATCATATTAATATAACTCAATAATTATATTGAATCATATTAATATAACTCAATAATTATATTGAATCATATTAATATAACTCAATAATTATATTGAATCATATTAATATAACTCAATAATTATATTGAATCATATTAATATAACTCAATAATTATATTGAATCATATTAATATAACTCAATAATTATATTGAATCATATTAATATAACTCAATAATTATATTGAATCATATTAATATAACTCAATAATTATATTGAATCATATTAATATAACTCAATAATTATATTGAATCATATTAATATAACTCAATAATTATATTGAATCATATTAATATAGCTCAATAATATTAATGTCAATCTATTCAGTATTAAACACAATAACATCTAATGCATATCTACTCAATAATTAGTCTAATCTTAGTCGTTGATGGAACAGTTTCCCCAACGGAGACTCACTAAGAACTTTGACTTGCGGTATCCAAGGCGACGTGTAAATGTTCTTTGGCAGTCCAGGTGGCAGCTCGTTTGGATTCGGTATCTTCATCAAGACCCGGACGGGTGCGATCTTTCCCAGGGAGTTGTAGAATATTTCGAGATGCTTCATGGGGAACGATTCGATTTTCACCATCGAACCGAACGAGAAGTAGATGAATCCACTCGTGCTCTCGTTCATCCATTTCTCCAAGCTCTGAAAGGGGACGTTCTTTTTAATCACCGAGACCGGAATGTTATTTCTGTAACATTATTACGCTGTGTGCTGTTCCTTCCGTCGAATTACGTTGTGTTCGCTCAACACCGTACACGATATTATTATATTCTCAGGTTTGTTCTTTGTACGACTAGCCGATGTAGCCATTATTCTTTTGAGAACGAGGAAGCTTTAAAAGCAGCTTAAATGCGGCTTAAGACGGAGCTCCAGAAAATGCTCGCGATCCCGTCGTCTTAGCGAAAACCAGTCCTTTTGAAAATGAGGATTAATCGTGAATGATGCCGAGGTAATAAAGCGCAATCAAGTTAATTCGCAGAATAAAATGAATAATAAAAATTCAAGCGGCAACGTCTTCGATGATAAAATCATATAACGAAGCGAATAATGATCTATTAGATCATAAAAATTAGATGATTATTAGATCATAAAAGTCGAATAATAAGAAAATTCAGAAATAAAATCCATAACAACAATCGAATAAAGTCGATGGGAGAGATTAAACAGAAAATTCGAACAATGATACGCGAAGGTAACAAAAGGACAACGTGTTTCATCGTTCTCAGAAGAGGCAGCGGAGGAGGATTGGAGGATAACAATGGAAATGAAATAATTACGGGCGGCAATTCGACTCCTTCTTCCGTGACGTGCAGTCCCCCGACTTCGATGAGCGCCGGGGTCATGGTCTTCACCCCGTTCATGGATATGTGAGAGTTGACGAGGATCATCGAGATGTTCTTCTCGAGTGTCCTGACGTCCGGTATGTCGTCGCCCAGGTATTTCCTCGCGATTTCGGTCTGCGGGCTCGAGAAGTACAAGAAGCTCATCTCATGGTAGGTAGAGTGTAAGAAATTGTACGCCCTCTGCCAGAAGTTCATCTGCTCGGGCAAGGTGATCAGATTGTTCGCCGCGTACGCCAGGTTGTGCGGGTTGCCGATCAGGTCGTGGTGCCACGGATAGAGGATCGCCGAGGAGACGCCAATGATCGGCACCTTCAACAGGTGGCCGATCGCTAGGTAACAGTGCGCGCCGAACACCTGGAACATAGCGAACAGGCGTCTTCAAACTTTGTCATTTTCGTAGCACGATTCCGTTTTCAGAAATTTTGTCATTTATTTGACGATGGCAAATATTCGATTTGCATTTCGAATGGCAAAAGACGACGAAGAATATGAGTCGTTGGTCTGTGGATTTATAATAAAAGTAAAAACAGCGTTCATTAATTGCAAGGTGTAAAAATTACGCAGACGTATGTATCTTGTCTTAAACATTCCAATAAGTTGACAGTAATACGATAATATCCTCGAATTGTATAAATGTCATTCCTATTCTCCATTTGATCGAGATTCGTTTTCGCCACAAATGCAATAAAATCCGCAAGTCATAATCCGCGATTGTTTAAAAACCATTGGAAGAAGAAATACGTTATCGTCTGTTGTTACTTGCGACCATCGTCATCTTGCACAAATACCTGCAATTTACCGATGAGTAGGCTGTGACAAATCGCGCATGCTGTAATATGATTTTCAGATAACATAATGATCGTTGCATAAAGCGAGATTAATAAGTCACGAAAGTACTGAGAATGCAACGCTGAAATCGCAAGAATCACCTCTGGCCACGTGCCGCTTATCACGATGCCTCCTGTTCCGTGGAGATTAACCGTGATTCATCAATTTCATAACGAACGATTACTTGCCGCTCTGGTTCTTTTTTTTTTCATTTTCGCGCGTTGTCCACGCAAGCAGTGGCTTCGCGTCGATGTAATTATGTAATACGTTTTCCAGCGTCATCTTGTTGATTAACACGTTACGAGATCGCGACGACTTGGACGTGCGACTAACTTTGTAAACAATCGCACACGTAGATAGTTCGCAATAGATTCATCGAACGTATTCGATACGGAGATTCAATGAGACAGCGAATCTCATAGGTTTACGGGTCGTAAACGTAACTACGCGAATTCGAAACGTGTCTCCTTTCTCTTTACAGCGATTTTCGAATTAGCGTTTAACTAATTACAGTAATTCCTCCGTAATTCGCGATTGTTTTGATCATCCGAGCCTGGCGTTCTCGTTTTTATAGTCGTTGACACTCGGTGACCATAAAAACGAGCCGCAAGGCTCGAACAATCGTATCTCCTCCTCCCAAATTGTCAACTTTTGTGCGCAATCCGAGCGCGAATCACGGAGAAATTACTGTAACTTCAGATTTTGCAAACGGCTTGCCAAAGCGATTCCGCATCTACGAAATGATCCTGTTTTTCCTTCCTAATTCGCGATTGTTTTGATCATTCGAGCCTGGCGTTCTCGTTTTTATAGTTATTGACACTCGGTGACCATAAAAACGAGCCGCAAGGCACGAACAATCGTATCTCCTCCTCCCAAATTGTCAACTTTTGTGCGCAATTTGAGCGCGAATTACGGAGAAATTACTGTAACTTCATATTTTGCAAACGGCTTGCCAAAGCGATTCCGCATCTACGAAATGATCCTGTTTTTCCTTCCTAATTCGCGATTGTTTTGATCATTCGAGCCTGGCGTTCTCGTTTTTATAGTTATTGACACTCGGTGACCATAAAAACGAGCCGCAAGGCACGAACAATCGTATCTCCTCCTCCCAAATTGTCAACTTTTGTGCGCAATTTGAGCGCGAATTACGGAGAAATTACTGTAACTTCATATTTTGCAAACGGCTTGCCAAAGCGATTCCGCATCTACGAAATGATCCTGTTTTTCCTTCCTAATTCGCGATTGTTTTGATCATTCGAGCCTGGCGTTCTCGTTTTTATAGTTATTGACACTCGGTGACCATAAAAACGAGCCGCAAGGCACGAACAATCGTATCTCCTCCTCCCAAATTGTCAACTTTTGTGCGCAATTTGAGCGCGAATTACGGAGAAATTACTGTAACTTCATATTTTGCAAACGGCTTGCCAAAGCGATTCCGCATCTACGAAATGATCCTGTTTTTCCTTCCTAATTCGCGATTGTTTTGATCATCCGAGCCTGGCGTTCTCGTTTTTATAGTTATTGACACTCGGTGACCATAAAAACGAGCCGCAAGGCACGAACAATCGTATCTCCTCCTCCCAAATTGTCAACTTTTGTGCGCAATTTGAGCGCGAATTACGGAGAAATTACTGTAACTTCATATTTTGCAAACGGCTTGCCAAAGCGATTCCGCATCTACGAAATGATCCTGTTTTTCCTTCCTAATTCGCGATTGTTTTGATCATCCGAGCCTGGCGTTCTCGTTTTTATAGTCGTTGACACTCGGTGACCATAAAAACGAGCCGCAAGGCACGAACAATCGTATTTCCTCTTCCCAAGTTGTCAATTTTTGTGCGCAATCCGAGCGCAAATCACGGAGAAATTACTGTAACTCATATTTTGCAAACGGCTTGCCAATGCGATTCCGCATCTACGGAATGATCCCGTTTCTAAATCGATTCTACATTTTGTTAATAATGACGAAATATGGTGTTCAGATCGGCGAAAGAAGTGCCTATTTGTAAAAAATATAAAAACAGAGAATTGTCGGGAACATTTCCGATATATCAGCAGTTATCGCGGCGCATTGTCGTTCCGCAAGAACCAAAACCTAGTTCTCTCGTTTTAGTTTCAATTTCCAGTGATTAGTTTCGAGAGAGTTTCGTATCGACGACCCGATAATGAAAGAGTATCGATTATCGTTCGGCCAGTTGAAAACCGAAGGAAGCAGAACGGACAGAACTGAAAAATGGGATACCGGCGATGCGTTCGATGGTATCGTTAGCCGATTCGAACGCCGCGGGCAACAACTGTCTAGTTTATTGCTTAATCGATCCAGAACGATTCGAAGCGTTCTACTTTGCGAACTATCGCATGTATCGTTCGACACTTCCCGCGCCAATTTGTTGGCAATTTGTTGTGCCGCACGCGGTCGCTTTCGCCGGTGATTCTCGAGCATTATGGAAAGGGACAGATTAAGAAAATTGCGTTTAATGGCGCGAGAACGTTTAACGACGCACGAAGTTTCCACGCTTTACTAATGTAATTTACAAGTCGCCGAGTTCTTTACGGCACTCGAGAACTTCTCCGGTAGATGCACGCGGCATACCAAACGGTTCGCTGACTCCATCTTGGAAGCTCACACAGTCGTGTGTTTGTTGGGGACCAACGCAAAACGGAGAACTGCGTCGCGCATTAACTCCTGACACGCAAAGCGTGTTGTTGTGCTCACGTTTCATTCGGATCATTTCTGACAAAGCGTTCCAATTTTTCACTGTTCACGGGGAAAATAAAGTGGTCGTTTTTTAACGCTAAACCTACCGCGGTCAAAACGACCGTTCACTGTTCTCGCAATTCTGCAAACTTCGGAGACCGTTTCATGGAAAACACTTGAATAAATTGCATTATTGCAGCAAGTTTTATAATAGAAACTTTACAAAGTCTAAATAAATTCGATATTTTTATTTCTAGGAGAAAGTTTTAGGTACACTTCTCTTTATTGAAGAATAAAAATATATATATTTTTTTTTATTATATTGTTTATTTTATATATTATATATATTACATATTATATATAATATAATAATATATATAATATATAAAATAAACAATATAATAAAAATAAATATATATTTTTATATATATAATAAGTAATATAATAATATATATATATATATATCTGCTTTGTAGGTTCACACAATGTCAATCATTATACAGCATCTTTCCGATTTTGAATATGACGATTTTTTGTATACGTTTTTTCCAGTTATTCAATTTAAGAGACGCTTCGTCGTCGAGAAATTCCACATTGAAGAGGCTAAATTACTAAATAACGACAATGCATGCGTCACAAGTGATATCGATCGTGTTAATTGTACCTCTACGCTCTAGTATCTCATCTGTATTTCGATGTCTATTTTTAGTTTCCAGAATGGTTGAGAAATGGTACACTTATTTCCATCGTGTTCGAAGACGTCAGAGGTTGTTTAGGAGGTTGTACACGCGCTTCGCATCATGGTATTATCACGCACGTATCGCCAGATATCGGGGAATAGTGATTGCGAATTTCGTATATTGCTTTGCTGGTCATTCTCGTGTATCGTGTTTCGAATTTGATTTACGCCACGTGTGTCGAGCTTGGAGGGTAGTCGTGTCATTTTTCAATTAGTTACAGTATCGTGAGGTAGATTACGATAATTATTACTGGTAATGATTATTTTTAGTAATAACTCGTTAGATATGGATGACAACCCATTTTGTTGTTTTGTTTAAGTCGGAATACAGTTCCAATAATCCTGTCGTCAATATACTTAAGTATTCAAGATAACGTAGACACAAGACAAATAGAATTTTTTTTTTCTTTTAAAAAAATTGTTACGTTCGGAAAGCTTCTACTCGTTTCAATTATGAAGGGGGCAAGGAGACTTCTTAGAGCGCTTGACGATTTGGCGAACATTTGGTAAACTCGATTCTCTGGACATTTTTTTATTATAATTGTCTGACGTGGATTTTCTATCATTTCGTTAAATTAATTAGAATAGTAGAAATTATTCGCAGGGTTAGTTTGAGCTCAGAGCAATTTTTCTGTGGATGTCAAAAATATAATTTGCAAATGTACGCATTAATTAGCTGGCCAGTGGTACTAATAGTGACCACGGATTAATTCCGTTGCTAAAGAAAAATAAAATAACTATTAGCTTTCAAATTGTTTAGCTTTCATTAAATGTTTGATCTAATCTTTCAATACAAATGATCAAGTTCTATTGTAATTCATTTTTTATTCAATTTTATAGTGATACTACTGGTTCTATATGAAGAGGACAAACAATGTATTCAATTTAAAGACGCCAAACGTTTTTTTTCAAGGAAATACTTTCTCAAGGAAACAGTTCATTTCTGCGAACGATATTATCTTCTTGCTTTATACAAGGTTTGTTTTCGAAATATGGATATTCACTGTGCTATTTTCACGTAAATTTAGTTTTGAGGACATACATCATAGATACATACGACATAATCAATAATATACGTGCATACTTGCATAT